TAGGGTTTAGGGTTTTCGGGTTTTAAGGTTTTAGGGTTTTGTGGCTTAGGGTTTAGGATTTAGGGTTTGACATATCAGAGGAGCAAATAAGGAGAATAGGGGGTTCGTGCCAGGTATCTAGGAGCCTTCATGACTAGCATCGGGTTTTACAGTGGCTTGCAGGGTTCTCTAAATGTCAGGGTTGAGGCAAGGCATTGGGTTTAGGGTTTAGGGAAACTTGCTGTGGCTATCAGCTCCTATATATCATGCCTTGCTAGTTCATGTACAACCTTAAAATACGAAATCTGGGTTTGTAGTCTTATCAGGATTACTACTAATTATTGCAATCATCATCATAACTACTATCGTTCATCTTGCAATATGGGTGGTTGTCAAAATTATGGTCCCTTTTTGGGTCCTATTATAATACGGCACCTATTATTTAGGGTACCCCAAAAGGGACCATAATTTTGACAACTCCCCAGTTCACGAGGCTTTCAAGGCTCGGCCACGGAAGGTCTGGAGATGCCAGGAAGAAGACTCCGGAAAGGGTTTAGGGTTTAGGGTTTAGGGTTTAGGATTTGGGGTTTAGGGTTTAGGGTTTAGGGTTTAGGGATCTACAAGACCTGCTTTTGGGCGTCTGGTTTCGAGGAATTTCTAAGAAGAGTTGCATAAGGGCTCTTCAGAAGGCACCTGACACCCTGGTTTCGGTTTAGGGTTTAGAGTTTAGGGTTTAGGGCTTAGGGAAGAAACGCTTTAAAACAGAAAATCCGGCCTGCTTCTCGAAGCTCTCGGACTCTGAGAAAGTCTCATACCTGCGAAGGGCCAAGCTTTGGGCTGCAAAGGCTTCGTGGATTTAAGGTTTAGGGCATTAGGGTTTTAGGGTTTAGGGCTTTATGGCGGCTTTGAGGTTTGGGGCTTCGTGTCTAGGGTAAGTTACGGCTTGGGGTCCAAGTTCAGGGCTTTGAGTTTCGGGCCTACCCTATTCGGCTTCCTGGTGCTCCACGGTTGACCCAGTAGGTAAGAAACATGCTGCTGCGCCGCTATTCTGTTACTGGGTTTCAAGTTCAGGGCTTAGGGTTTAGAGTTTCGGTGATAGGTTTTACGTTGCTGCGCTTTGGGATTGAGTGCCAAGGTTTGGTGGGATTAGCGGATATTGCTGACATGGTCATCTGCTATAGAGGCAATACCGTTCTTGCCTGCGGTCTTGTTACTACTCCCCCTATTTTGCTTGTTATGTTTGAGCAATTGGTGTCGCTGTTGGTGCAAGGCTGTGTGCTGCATAGCAATGTCGTTGTTTTTCGCTTTTGGTAGCTGTACACTTGAAATAGGTGTGTTACTCCTCAGCCCACAAACATTGCAATTGCTGCGGAGGGCATCTTTGTTCTTGCTTACCACTTAAGTCTACTTACACTTCTCGTATCTGGCTACGATTGCTGTCATCATGTCATTCGGCTTGCTGCTCTTATTGCACTCTGCAACATCCGTATGCGAATGCTGCCACAACCACTTCTAGGTAACAACCACTACCACCGCTACCACCCTACAAGCTCCACCACCACCAATAACAAGACGAAAATTACCGTTTCCATCAAGTTCCACGAGCCTAAACCCTAAACCCCGAAACCCTAAACCCTAAACCCTAAACCCTAAACCCTGAAACCCCAATACCCGTAACCCGTTCCACAGACTAAAGCCCTGAAATGACTTCAGACCCTTCCTTTGCCCTACACCCTTAGACCCTAAACCCTAGACCCTTAAAGCCCTAAACTCCAAACCTGTACATCCCAAAACTCTAAACCGGAAACCCCTAGACCCTGAAACCTTAAACCCCTGAACCCTAAACCCTAGACCCTTAAAGCCCTAAACCCCAAACCCGTACATCCTGACCCCTAAGCTCTTCACCCTTGGGTTTAGGGTTTAGGATTTAGGTTTTAGGGTTCACCAACCTTAAACCCCAAGGCCCCGCAGTGCAAGCGCACCAGGTCGGAATCGGCGAGACCTTGGAATTTCCACAAACTGGCGTTTGGGGTGTAAGTTATTCAGGGATTGGGTCTGATAGGATTCAGAGTCTAGGTTAATTGGGGCTTGGGGTTTGTAGGATTTAGGGTTTAGGGCTGAGGTTATTTATTGCGGTTTGCACCTGATAGGATTTCGGATTTTGGGTGTAGGGGTTTAAGGATTGCCATAACGGGTCCCTTAAGGGCTTTTACAGGATTTAGTATACGGGATTTCTTCGGGTTCCTATCAGGGTTTGAGGGGCTTAACCGGGTTTCATAGGATGTGCCAGACGGGTTCCCTTGTAAATAGCGTTGAAAATTTTGATATAGGGGCCTGAATAATTACCAAGACCATCTTTGGGGGCTCCTTATTAGAATTATAATATATTATTATATACCCCACAACCCTATTCTAATTCTTAAGGCTATAGATCTCTTATAGAACCCTTCAAGGACCCGTTTCAAGGAACCCTATTCTAAGTATTAAGGCCCCTACACTCTAGGGTTCAGATCTCGGGTTTGGGCGACGGAATAGGTAGAGTAGGGTTCTGCAAGTAAACTGTAACATCATCATAGAGGGACCATAAGTTGGGGCTATATTGAAAATGAACATGTTTAATTAATCCTGATTGGGTTTTAAAACAACAAAAATCTAAAATTGTATCCAACAAAGACCCAGATAAGGGGAGGCTTCTACTAGTTATTCCGACCCCTATATTGCCTTGTCTGTGGGGTCCTCATAATAAGGATCAGAAACCCTAAACCTTGAACCTGAAACACTAAACTCCCTAAACCCTAAAGCTTGAACCTTAAACACTAAGCTCCCTATCCTCCCCCCACCTTGTCATGGTAGAGGTTGGCCAAGACATAGGCACCCACCTCAGGCGGTTCAGGTAGGGCTTGCGAGTGCTAGGGTTTCGGTGGGTATGGTGGTTGGGGGATTTTAGGGCACAGGGTTGGGGTGCTTTGGGTTTGGGGGGTCTAGGGTCAAGGTCTTTGTGTGTTGGGCTTGGGTTTTAGTTCAGGTCTTGGGGCGTGGGACAGCGACCTGTCCACTGCACTTGAAGGGCAATTCGGCCAGGCAGGCAAACGAACGGACAGATATCTGGGTGCGCCACATACGCATGCATTTGTGCGCATGCATGCATGCATGCATGCATGCATGCATGCATGCATGCATGCATGCATGCATGCATGCATGCATGCATGCATGTATTCATATTCTGGCGACCGGCTCGCTGTGAGAGTGCACTTTTGGTGTTGCAGCAGCAGTTGTTTCCGCCCAGGAAGATGAGGAGTACACGGCGATATACATGTACATACATGGCACTCTGACAGTGCCCGGGGATGTGTATGTGTGTGTATGTATATATATATATATGTGTGTAAATATATATATAT